CTTTGAATCTTACCGGTATTTTTACATCGCTACGCTGAGGCCGCCTGGTCACCCGGGCCCGCCCACGTCGAGTCCCTGGCTGAGTCACTGCCGGTCGATCAGTCGCTCTGTCTCCCTTGCTCGCCAGGGGCGTCCCGTTCGAGTCCCGCTCGCAGACAGATAACGAGGGAGACAGAGACTGCGTGGCGCTGAGAAACCGAAAATCAATCGCGCGACAAAGCCGAGGCAAAGCCACTCGGCGTCACAAACGGCTCGTGCGGGACGCGTCCGTTCGGCCAGCCACTGTCAAAGCGAGTGTGGAGAACTTGAAGTGAGGGGCTTGCAAACGCTGCACTGCCACGTGCGCGCACCCTGAAGTGCGTCCACGTGCATCAGTCGCACGGGATGTCAAGTGGGCGGTGGGGCGCCGAGACAGAGGGCAGTCCGTCCACGCCTCCGACAACCCCCTCCCCCTTTCTCTCTGGGCCTCGCAGGTGAGCAAATTGCGCAGCAGGCCGATTCCGAGCACTGCTCTCATCGCCCTGTCTCTCTCGCACTCATGGGGCGTCCCGTAAGGGTGCGAGAGAGACAGCCACAAAAGCAGTGCTCGGAATCATCAGCCTGCAGACTGCGCAGCCGGCTGAGTGGGAGGTGTCTCTCTCGCACCCATGGCGCTTCCTCGTCTGAAGGTGCGAGAGAGATAGAGCGGCGGGACTTCCCCCTCGGACTCGGCTGGCAGACGGGCTGTAGGGGCGAGGCCAGGCGAGGCCGGGCGACTCAACGGGGGAGCCTCGCTCCCATTAGCCTTTCACCCGAACTCCCGCGCTTAATAAAGTCGCGGTGTACACGTCTGGCCGGCCAGCCGTGTTTCCTAAATCCGTCCTGGAACTCGGGGACGGCCCGGGAACGCGGCGGCGACGGGCGGCGCCCATCACCATGGCAACGACGCGACCCCTTGTGCGCCCCCTCCCACCTCCCCCCTCCGCCGGCGACCTGCCGGCCCGTGCGGCACGCAGCGATCGCAGCGATCGCACCGCGTGTGCGCGCCAAACCAAAGTTTGGGGGAATGCCCGGGGCACATCCTGCAGACTGATGCCGAGAGCTGTTTTCGTCGCTCTGTCGCACTCATGGGGCATCGCTTGCAGGTGCGAGAGAGACGGAGTGACGAGAACGACCCTGGCAATCAGTCTGCGGGGACGAGCAGCGCCGCGCCACAGTCAAGGGCGCCAGCCTCGGTACCAGCTTATTGGGGCCGCGCGGGGAAAGGCTCCGGGCCAGGTCGACCAGGTGGCCGCATCAGCGCGGGCTGATCTGTGCCGAACCCTCTCCGCGCAGTCTCTCCCCCCTCCCTCCCTCCCTCTCCCTCCCTCTCTCTACACCACCCCTTGGCCCGAATGTGAAATCAGAATCCCCCCAATAAATACTGTTAAAAACTAAACACACTCTCTCTCTCTCTCTCTCTCTCTCTCTCTCTCTCTCTCTCTCTCTCTCTCTCTCTCTCTCTCTCTCTCTCTCTCTCTCTCTCTCTCTCTCTCGCTTTCTCTCTCTCTCTCTGCCCAGCAGACTAATTCCGAGAGTCGTTTTCGTCGCTCTGTCTCTCTCGCACTCATGGGGCCTCCCCTATAGGTGAGAGAGAGACAGAGCGACGAGAACGGCTCTCTGATTCAGTCTGCAGGCCCCCAGCTGGCTCCACGGGTGCAAGGTTTGGGGGGGGGGGGGGGAATGAGGCTGCAGACGGCAGTGGAGCGCGGAGGACAAGATGATCGTGATCCGAAGCAGCCGTGATGCGGCGTGCAGCCCCCTGCCCCTTTCCCCCGGCAGGGCCGGCAGGGCCGAGGCTGAGGGTCAGTGTCCTTCTGGGCCCTGCCGGCCCTGCTCCCGTGCTCCCGTGCAAGGCGAAGCGAAGGCGGCTCGCAAGCGCTCGTACTGCGATACCTTATAGTTATAAAAACTCAGTTGCGGCGAGGCGCTTGGAAAAGACTCAGCTGTAGCAGCCCGTTCGAGAAAGATTCAGTTGCTGCTGGATTCCTATCAGAGTCTTTCTCGAACGGGGACTACAAATGAACCTTTTCTGAGCGTCATACGTCGCAACTGAGTCTTCCTTACTAGTTAGGTTTGTCCGGTTTGGTACTGTAACGAGAAACATGTTGTTGTTGCATGGTTGTTCTTCTACGAGTGTGCCAGGCCCGACGGCAGGCTAGAGAATTGGAAGAGGTTATGCACGTGGAGCGTTATGGTGGCGTGCAGACGCCACGGCTGCCACGGAGGTGGTTTTAATTCGGAGAAAGGAGTGCGAGCGCGGACGCCGATAATTGAGTGGTATCCAGCCGGCCGCTCCGTTTTCGCCCAGATTACGACCACACTGCTAAAAAATAAAAAATCTCATTCAACGAACGTTAATGAAAGCAGATGATACTCTTTTGGTTTTCTTCTACGGTGGAGTATGGGTTCATTCCAAAGCTGTCGGTACGAGCTGAGCAGCAGTGCCCCGCACGCGAGCCGAAACGAGGCGCCCGAGTCCTTGCCGAGCAGGGCCGTGCCTAGCGCGAAGCGAGTACGTACACTCGTGCAAATCTTGTCAGAATGTCAGAAACGTGTCTGAAAACCTGATCAAAATTCGCGCACTTCTGAAAGCTGAAAACATGTTCTGACATTCTGCACAACTCAGGCCACCAATGTCAGCCTAAGTTTTCAGAATTTCAGCTTTCACAGGTGCGCGAATTTTGATCAGGATTTCAGACATGTTTCTGACGTTCTGACAAAATTTACACGAGTGGTCCTTGCCGCGCGGGGCAGAGCCTAGCGCGGAGGGTTGAATTCCGCGCAGGCTGCGCCGCAGACCGCAGACAACCACGCACCATCCCGCCCCGGCAGCCAGCCCCTTTTATATTGTTAGGATACGCACTTGCTTTCTGGACTCTCGAGTAAAAGCTAGCTGACACCTTTATGTGTCGTGTAGTTTTAGGTGTATTTTAAAGTAAAGGTATCATCTGCTAAAAATAAAATCGGGAGTAGTCTTTGCTCCATGGCTCTGCCTTGGCTGCCCGGTCGCCATGCCACGTCACCGCGTGGTTGTGAGGCGGTACACTGGCGGTAGTACGGCACGCAACGATGCAGCGAGACGTGTGGGGTTACGCGAGGCCATTGTCTCGAAAGGAAAGAAAGCGCCAAAGTTCCATCCATCGCCTCGCCTCGCGCGCGCCTCACAGGCCGTGGGCGTTCGCGGCAGCGGGGCGGGGCGGGGCGGGCGGGGTGGGGCGGGGCGGGGCTGCGGTTGACCGCGATACAAGAATGGAGTGACGAGGTGTACCCTCCTCTTAACACACCTGCCTTGAGATTTCCGACATCAGCCTGCCGAGAGCCTGCCCCTCTTTGAGAGTGACCGATGCCGGACTCTGGTCGCGCGGTACGTACGTATACGTCGCGGTTGGGCGCCCCGGCGTGGGCACTACACTGTACCATTTCGACGCTCGGACTCGGGACAGCGAGCGAGGATGCAAGCACAGTGGGCCAGAAGACCGGCGCAAGCGGCCAAAACTCGAGGCGCGTTTTGAGTTCCAGAGTCGCTGAAGGGGAATCAAAGCGAACGTGTGACCCCGCGTTTCGAGTTCGAGTCCCATTTAGCGACATTGGAGCTCAAAACACGTCGGGAGGTTTGGCCGCCTAGGCCGGTCTTCTGGCCCGTCTTGGTGTGCTTCAGCCACCCCTGGCTGGCCGGCTGGTCCGCCTGGCACGCCGTGTGTGCCGTGCAGTGCCGTGCCGCGCCACACACGGGCAGTCCGTGGCCAAGGTCAGCGCGGTTGCGCTGAAACCCACGAATGCTGGACTGGCTGGGCGGACCCGCTTGGACCCGCTGCAGTCGAGGTGCGCACCAAATTTTGGCTCCTTATGGAACGCGTTGTTGGGGAGACCTCTTGAGGAAGCAGACACACAGACAGACAGACAGACAGACAGACGGACGGACGGACGGACGGACGGACGGACAAACAGACAGACCGACAAACAGACGACAGACGACAGACAGACAGACAGACAGACAGACAGATAGACAGACAGACAGACAGGGGGCAAAAGAGCAAACGATTTGGATGAAGAAATCCTCCCCGGCGGGCTCAGCGACGCAAAAGGAGATCGTCGCGTCGCTATTGTCCGATTTTAATTGTCACTTTACTTTGAAACTCCGTGTCGTCGGAGCACCGTCCCGGTTGCGAGAAGCCCCTGCTGCGGGCCGACTCCGGGGGTCGGTGTCGTTGCTCTTTTTCTCTCGAACTCATAGGACGTCATAGGTGCGAGAGAGATAGAGCGACGAAAACGAGCGCGCCTTGTCGCTCTGAGCGCCGCGACTGCCTACACTACTAAACGCCCTCGTCGTGGCCGTTGCAGCCGCCACACCTGACCAACGTGATGGCGCTACGTCCCCCCCCCTCCCCCCACTACACTGGGCAATAACCAGCTGTGGCCAATGCCTTCAAGGCGGAGCGGTGGCCTCACCGAGCCGGTCGCCTCTTATCCTGGAGGACGCGTTGGTCGACGCGTTGCTTTGACACTGTGGTTGACATACATATTCCAAGAGCCGTTTCCGTCGCTCTGTCTCTCTCGCACCCACAGGGAACACCCCACGAGTGCGAGAGAGACAGAGCGACGACTCTCGGGAGTCTGCTAGTCTGCCGGCATAACCACGTGCTCCTCCGTGTTGCGGCGGCGCTTGGCGGCGCAGGCGTCGCGGCGCCCCCCTCCCTCCGTGAGAACCCGAGAGCCCCACCCCAGCCGTGATCGCCGCCGTGGCCGCCGTGGGAGAGGAGGCACTACACCGCGACGATGGGTGCCTAGCCTTTTTGCCGAGCAGGGACTCTAGCACGGACTCGCCGAGACTCGAACAGTTCGATCCTGGAATCCAGAGCGGCCGGCCTGGAATGCCTGGAATGCCTGGAATGCGCAGAGCCGCGTCGGCGACTGCCGCCACTGCGGAGAAGACGCTCGCTTGCCGAGACCAGCCGGTTCCAGGACTCCGCTGCCCTTACCTGTTGAGGCGCCTCGTTTGCTGGAGCGGTAATCCACACAAGCGGTAATCCACACGGTCGGGGTAATCCAAGGCGGTGGCGCTGAAATACACACGCACACACACACACGCGCGCGCGGGTGTTGGCGGCGGCCCAGACACCTGGCGGCCACGACACTGACTTTTGGCACTGCGCTTGGCACTGCGCTTGGCACTGCGCTTGGCGCTGAGGGGGCGTCGCGGCGCGTCGACGGCGACCTGGCCGCGGCCGCTTTCTTATTGACCGCGAGCGGGGCAAGGCCTGCACGGCCGGCGGGGGCCTGGCGGGGACTGCGCGACGGGCCCCTCGTCCCCACGACTCAACGGCCGAGTCAAGACTAACTTGTAAAAGCAAGCTAACCTGTGCCGCGCGCCGCCGCTCGCCTGGCCGCGCGCCTCAACAACAACCGTTGGCAGTAGTCCCCCCCCTCCCCTCCCCCCCTCGCCTGAGTGGAGGCCTGTGGTTGCCGCCGCATCGCCCCCACTCCGCCACGCCTCGCCTGGCCTCGTCACCGCACAGGTGCGACGAGGACAAAGGGTTCGCTGTCTCTCTCGCACTTCCCGGGCAGCGCAGGGCAGCGCAGGGCAGGGCTAGGCAGGGCCAGAGGGCCAGGGCATCGCACCGGGCGCGCGGTGCAGGGCGGCGGAAGGCACGGCGCTGGCGGAGCAGCGGAGCCCTGCACCACACCGGCCCTGCCGGCCCTGCCAGCCCTTACCTGTCTTACCTGGCCTGCAGGCTCCGTGCAGCGTTGCCGTCTTGCCCGCCCTTTAATTTCCTTCGTTCCATAGGTCAGTCCTTGTCGCTCCTTACAGACTGCCGGCGAGAGTGACAGAAGAGTTACGCAATGCGAACCCAATCCGAACTCACCTGTTCAGCTTGGCAATGGC